TTGCAAATAAAACACACTCCCATTACACTTCAAGTTTCTAGTGCTGAAGCTAATTTGAGACTAGAATGAGTCAAAAGTAAAAGACTTCAACTGTAATTTAAAGAATGATAAAGAATTACTTGAGAAAAGTTGGACAAAATGAAAGGCAAATTAAAAAATTCAATTCTCCATTCTAATCCAATGACACTGTACAAATCTGCACTTTCTTTTACTGAAGTCTCATAGCAATGTCAATGAGGACACTTTTTCTGGTTTCATCCTATGCATTTAATGCACCAACCCTAAATGACTGCAGCACTACTTCTTTACTTGAAACTTTGCCTTTCCTATCCAAGCTGTTTCCTTGGAGAACAAAAAAGACAGGAGAATAGCGTTGCTGCCAGCCAGACTTTCTTTTCAAAACCATGGCAGAAAAATCTAGGCCATGTGAAGGAAAGAGAAAAAGAAGGATCATCATTTTTTTGTGGCATGCTCCCAAAACCTCAGGAGAGTCACATTTGCCAGGCCTTCTTTGTCTGACTGAGAACTCAGGGTTGCTTTCCAGACATACCTGTTGCTTCTCTATTCTTCCCCAAGGTGACAGCGGAGGCAGGCAGACAAAGCATTGACACCAGTTTCAAATCCACATTTGGCAGGACCACACAGCTCAAATACAATTTTTCTTAAGTGAAAATTGCATTAGATTTCAAATCACTTCACCAGGCAAATGCCAGCATGCAAGCACAGAAAGAGGAATTTGCTGTGACCTAAGGAGTTCGATTTGCAAAAGATTCAGCTCTTGTCTTAGATAAAAAGCAGACAAGAAGACTGTTTTCTTAGAGTGAGGTAGGACTACTCTGATCAGAGTAACAAGTAAAGTTTCCCCTTTCAGCACAGGGTGGGGAAGCATTATGCTTCCTTAAAATTTCAAAATATTTTGTGTTAAACCCATTGCAAATTAAGTTGATTGCCTAGAGACTATAACTACTGCTTATAGTTCACGAGAGAAACAAGACAGTGTAATGATCTGTGACTGCATACCGTACATGTAGACTACAGCCATCAGTCAACTACATAATCTTCAGCATCAAGATTCATTAAAGTCAGTGGGCGTCATGTTGTTAAACCTTGTGTGCAATCTAGGAAACAAAGGGGTTAAAGGTATAGAATCAAGAAACTGGGTAAAGAAAAAAGTGAAAAAGAAACTGCTAGAGCTGAAGTGGATGCAGCCAGGATAGTGCTTGCGGCTACAGATTAGATTACTCTTAGATTTTCCTCACATAAACATTTTGAAAACAAAACAAATGACAATCTATCATGTCTTAGGACATGACACTCTTTTCCTTTTTTTGTTATGCTCATCAAAATTACATTTTCTATTTGTTTAAAAAATAGCGTTTTTCCAAAATTCTTGCATACATATGAACATGTCAGTGCACCCTCTTTCTTTTCAAATAATTAGCTGTAATGAAGTGGGTCTTTGAGATCTGAAAGCGTTAAAAAGTGAGTTAAACCTTAATTATGGGCTGTAAGCTGCTGAAGGGAGAATACTAGAATGCAGCAATGACATCTGGACTAGTACTAGTGCACGTAATGCATATCTGTCACTGACAGCTCACTGGGTTACATTTAATTCACAATCATCAGTCATGTCTTCTTCTTTTCTATGCAAAAAAAAAAAAAAAAAAAAAAAAAAAAAAAGAAAGAAAAAAAGAAAAGAAACTACAGCAGCACCAGTGGCAGAGAGGACAGATTCTTCTACATGCTGAGATTCAAGATGACCTTACAGATGTAAATGAAATGAACAGATAAATGTCAACAAATATTTCATACATTGTGCTAATACTACATCTAATGAAGGTCTGTAATTCTTCTCTAGCCCATATAGTCTTAGTTTCAGACTTCGACTCTCCTTTCTCTTGTTTTGGGGGGAATGCCTCTATGCTCTCTCTCTCCATGTAACTTGGGGCACATATTGGATTTAGCAAAGTAAAATGTGAGTAGCACCCATCTACCAAGAGGAAATAACCATGAAACCTAAGAACCAGAAGTGGTTGCAGGATTAATCCAGAAGCTGGCTGAACCTTTGCTTTGCCTGGTTGCATTTTTGTCTGTGGAACAGGCACAACTGGAATAAACAGTGCTGAATAGAAATCAGCTTGGATAAGAGCAGGAAATACTGGCCTCATAAACACTGACACAAAAAACAGTCTCCAAGCCTCACATTATAGACTCCATTCTCCTTGAAATATTTAAGCAGCAACCTGCAGGTGTCTAGAAATGTTTCTCTTAAAACATGAAACTGCTACTTCCATGGCTCTGCAACAAGAAGGCATATGGACACAGCCAATTTTCACTTAACAACTCAGTCGAGGCAAACAAAAAAGCAGAAGCTATGGTAAATGCAGACCTCTTTGATCCCAAACTAAATGACAATTTTAGCGCTAACACTTGTCCAGATGCTTTTGTTACAGATCAGAAAACCTGTTTGGCAAGCTCTCACTCATTTGGCTATAAGTATTTCAGTTGCCTTCCCACTAGATGTAGTCTCACCACATAAGTCATGTTTCAAGACAGAGTGAACAGATGAGCTTGTCTTATTCAATCACTAATATTGATTCACACATTCACACAGAAGAAAATGCAACTTTGAATTGTCTTGGCAGAGAAAACACCTTACACATGCACAATTAAAGATTAAGGAATTAGCATGTGCCCTAATTGAAGCCCTTCAGGGTGGGTTCTACGATTTGACCACACTTCATTATGTTTGTCCTCTCCGTGCTATGAAGTGACCTCTGGCTAGGTGCACATTTTGCTATGGCTTATGGTAATTATGATTCTTGTTCATGGTAGATTGACTAGAATCTCTTTGGACTATCTAGTGTATAATCTTTCTTTATGTATTTCTACTATAGTACCATATGCATTAGCACTGGCCTACTGGGTATCATTTTATCTCAGCTTTCATGTATACTTTCTAATTATTTTAAAACGGTACTGTCATTGGAGCTTAACGTTGAAAATAGAATTCACTTTTCACTTAGCCCACCACAAAATTACAACTTATGACAATGTAAGTTAAGCTTTCAGTAGGAAGTAGGAAATAATAGTGCACTTCATAGTATGACATATACTAAATTAATAAGTTTAAAATGGCTTAAAAAGAACGAATAAATGTATACTGTCTTAAAATAAATACCTTGGCTGCTCTGAAAGTAATGCCTCCTACTTCATGAAGTTGGCCCACAACATCAGATGTTGGTGGTACGGCAGTAGAGGTGGAATCTTCCCAGAAATATTCCATTAGGTTTTGTTGCCATGTTACAGATGGCAGCAGAGGGGCAGTCTGACATAGTGGTACCTGACATGAAGGTGCGTGTGAAGCAAAGGTATGTCACTGAGTTCCTCCATGTGGAAAAAATGGCACCTGCTTATATTCACATATAACATATATAATGCTTGCTGAACGTTTACGGAGACCAAAGAATGGACGTGAGCACAGTGAGGCAGTGAGTGGTGTATTTCAGCAGTGGTGACTGTGACAGCGGGTCACCTCCACTGTTGCAAATTTTATGAATGTGGCAAGGATGCTCTGTTTTATGCTGATGAAAATGCATAGCTTGTGGTGATGACTGTTTTGAAAAAGTGCTTTGTAGCTGAGAATATGCTCTATCAAACAGTGTTACTGTGTTCTTTGTATCTGTAGTAGTTTGCATCAAAACAAATAGGAAGCAATACTTTTGAGATGAGCTACATATGGAGTATGTATTTGAAGAAACTCCAATTATAATGGCATGTGTTTAAAATTAATATTTGTGACATGGTAGTGCCCAAAGGCTTTTGGCCTAGTTGTGTTAGACACTGAGCAACAGTTTTATCTGTATTTAACATTTCTTCTCCCCTGCCTAAGCAACCACTCTTTCTCAACTTGTACAATTTCCCTCTCCCAAACATTCCTAATACTGTGCTATTTCCAATTGTTCCCCTACCCATTTGTCTCAGGAAATAACCTTCTTTTGAAAACCCCTTTTATTTTTCTTCTTTCAATCCAATCTTTATCTTATCTCTCATAGTGTTGGAAGAAGTGGCTGAGATCACTAGTTGTCACACCTCAGATTTCTTCTGTCTTTCCTCAGATAAATCAATCCCAGCAACCAATGTCCTTGGTGTTGGCACTAACCTTTCCCACCATTGCTTTCACCAGGTTTTTGGGAGAAAAATACTCAACTAATTTCTTCCCTTTATCCCCACTGCATTCAAGGCAGATCAGTGCTGCACCAAATGCCTTGACTCCTCAATCAACAGTTCCAGAATTGGTTTTCTTGTGCAATGCATTCTTATTTGTTGCTGACATAAAATGGGAACTAATTTTCTACTCTCTACAGTCTTGTTCATTGAAATTGATAGGGGATTATATTTTACAGGGACCTTTTGAGAGCATTCATCATCATGTTACATTCTGAAGTAACAATTGCCTTCAATCCAGACAGTAGACTCTGAGCTCTTGCAGGTCTCTTCTCTCACCCCTGTTTTCATACAGCACACATGTGGATGGCTTTTGATATGAAAGTAGTAAAATAATGTCACAGATGCACTGTTATTCAATTATTTCCATATTTTTAAAGAGTTGTTGATTAGTTAGAAATAAATAATGGAGACCAAATACAACTAATTGATAAAGAACATCACCCACAACATGTTGTTGCTTTTTAGGGAGCCTGAATATTTTTGTATTCTGTATATTCCCAGACAAATTAGAGAGGTGCATTTTATACTGAGATTTGTGACAGATCTGTTTTAGAATTCATAGGTGTGCCAGCATAATACAATTCATTTAGGAATATGACATATCTTTGTAATTTGTAGGTGTTGACTGTCTAACCTTCAGACAACTTGATGGAAAAAAATAATTCATCCATAACAGAGACTTTTATTTTTCAATCCATAACATTCTATTTAATGTATTAGAAGTACATGAAAAGAATGGAAAAACAGAAAAAGTAAAATAATAGGAAGAGAAAGAAGTGCCTTACTATACAGCATTTCAGCAAATAATGTAAAGATGGATTATACTATTTTTTCAAGTCTTCATCCACTTCAGTCAAGTGAAAGTTTTATCCATATGGATCTATCTTACTTATCTTTGTGATGAAGTAAGAGAAAGGCCATTGTAGTCATATATATATGTATACTACATTTGTGTTGTTTTTTTTTTTTTCTTTTTTTCCAGAAATTCAGACAACTTGAACACGACAATATTGAAGAATATGTTATGAGTATTTCATCTCATGATTAGGACTGTCTTCAAATATAATACTCTATATTCACATGCCTTAACTGTTATTATATAATTTGCTTACATCCTGATCACGTTTATCAAAATAGAAGTTACAGATAGCCAGGGAAGGGCAATAAAAATGGAGATAATCTGCTCCTGTATTTTATGTGCCTTCCATTTAAAATAAGTTAATTGCAAGAGAATAAGTTTTGATTACTCCAGATAATAAGACCTTTACCTTAAACAGGCAAGGTGCATACTGGGGTATTTTGCCACCATGAGCAGCAGAGAACCTCAATGCTATTATTGGCACCATGTGAACTAGTTCATAACTATCCCAGGGCTAGTAATTTTGCGTTTCAGGAAATGCAATTTATGGTCATATTACACTTTTCATCTTTGTACTAGAAGTATCTCCCAGGCATTCACTGCAGATTATGGTCCCTCCTAGATCAGGAATAGGTCACAATTCTGTATTTTCTCAGTGAACCTTTTTTTTCCTTAAAATGAATGAATGAATGAATAAATAAATAAATAAATAAATATTCCCATATTGCACACAGTATACAATTTGCCTTCTCTGAACTCCATGAAAGCAAATGCTTTTGAAGGAGGTTGAGGTGACACTGCACTGCTTTGTGGAAGCTGCCCCTATACTGATCACCTAGATTTCTTTTTCTCCACCAAACCCACAGCGCTGACTAATTTTGAGTCAATGAATTGCTTTAGTAGTAGAGGTTACTATTCAGAAGTGAAACTGCTCCCTGCTCTTTTTTTCAGCCTACTTTCCAACTCCAGGCTTCTTCTCGCGGGAGGGGACAGCAGAGCTGGAGCTTTTGCCAGTCATGTAGTTAACAGCAATTGCTCCTGATAAAAAGAATTACATCATCATTAGCGAAAGGGAGGAGAAAGTCTAACAAAATACATTGCATGAGCAGTCTGATAACTGGATTCCTACTGCATACGCAGCCAGAATAGATATTACAGATGGCACCTATGTTTTTTTATAACAGAAATCAGTACCTCTATTACCATATTCTGATAGATGCAATTCTAACCAGAACCAAAATGTTGCGAGGCACTGCTGCATCCGTGCATACCAGAACTTTTCTGGGAAAGCTAATCCACTTTGAAACTTAGGCCAAATTGGCAAAATCCTCCGTTCCTTCTGAACTCCAACTCTTTAGTTTAGGCACTCAGGGAATGTGAGAAAGCAACCTTTTTCTAAAACACACACAGAAAGGAGAAACCTCCTTTACCATCCAGTACATTGTAAGTCTCTTGACTGCACGAATGGGAAGCATATTCCGTAGCGTGATAGCGCGCACGGATGTGGTGTGCTACTTTCTCTCTGTAATGAATTTTATGCCTGCCTGTTTCTGTTCCATTGTCTATTTTTAATTCAAATATGTAAAAGCTTTTCTTAATACAGACTCCCAGGTGTCAGTTGCTGCCTGGAGTCCCTTTTCTTTCCTCTATTGTTCTCTTAATTGTTACTTCAAAACAATTAGCTGGGCATTCAAATGCAAATGAATGCAAATGTACAGGGGATTGGGTGTGAGAGAATACCACCACTCGTTAATTTCCACTTCAAGGTCTGCTGGTAGAAACAACAAAATTGCTTAACAATGTATTTTTCCTGGGCCATAAAGGGTGAACTCGCGACGATTTCAGTCATCCTGCTGGCTCGGCAATTGTTGAGATTCAGCCGGTTTTTGGTAAGATTTTTCTTTATTTATTTATTCGGTTCTAGTGCTAAACTTACCACTCTGAATTGCCCTTGCTCATTTATGCTCAAGGACACGTCTAATAATTTGGATACAATCCTGATTGAGAGAAAAGTTATATTATTAATACTAGCGTTGTTAATGTGATCCATTAAGAGATAAAACCTCTCACTTGAAGGAATTCCTCATGTCTCAGAAAAAAACTTTTATAATTTACAAAAGAGTAAGCTTTGTTGCATTTTGGACTTTGAAGAAAGATATGCTGACAGATAGACTGGGGCTGGGGATGAATCCTAGAGAGACTGCCAGTTGCTAAGATAAATCTGATCCCTTTTGGAGCAGTTGTATTTATTGTATAAATCTGCATTCCCTTTCAGACTGTATAGTGAAGCTCCTTATGAAAAATTGTAGGTGATTCATCATTCAGAACTGCTTTACAAAATAAATACCTTAGCTGTTCAGATCCAATTAATATACAGCAACCAATTAAAAGACCAAATGCTGCAATCATTAGGCAGGAAAAATTCAGTACCACAGACCATCCTGAGCTGGAAAACCCCCATCACAGCAGGAGAACTCCTCTACTCAGGTGTGACTTTCCAACTGGGAACACACCTGGGGAAGAGTGTGCCTCTAGGAGGCGGAACCTTAGAAACATATTTCTGAGGCAGTGAGAAGAGATATTAACTTTTAACTCCACGATTACTTTTCTTCCACATTACCTTAGAGTTAATCCACTTTCATCTCTGAAAAATCACTTACATAGCAATAATGGACCACAATATTTATACTTCAGGATGAGTAGCATCTTTGTTAGTATGCAGTTTCACCACATAAAGTGTCCCTGAGATGGTAGAGTAGCATAAGGCAGTGAGAGCTGGGTTGAATTCTTGCCCCACTGTCTCCCATGAAGCAGAAATGGCTCTTTAGGTATGGACATTTTAGTTCCATTTAGATATCTAAGTCACTGCTATCAGTGAAAGTCAGATGTTTGCTTGCCTTTGTCTAAACCCTGATAGCCCCATGTCCTGGGTTCTTTGCTCCAAGATGGGGGTAATAGCAGTGCTCTCGTAGCACTGTTGTGTGAATAAACACATCTGAGACTGGGAGAAACTTGAGCAGAGCAATGACAAAGACCATATGAATACCTTAGGAAAAGAGGCACTGCCACAGTACAAATAAGCAGCAGCAAAGCAGCTATGAGTGCTCTGGGAAAATAAACCCAGAAAGTAGCATAAGGCCATGTTTAAATTGCTGTTACTTATGCACACCAAAGAATGAGATTTTGTACAGGTGTAGATATGGCAGTGAGAAAGGGGGGACTCCTCTGTGGCTCCCCTAGTTCCTCGCATGGAAATAGATGCCAACATGCAGAGTTTTTGTGGGGGGCTGCCCCAAGGCATCACTCCATGTAGTGCCTTCAAGGGGATAAGAATGACAAGTCTCCTTCCTTTACTCCTTGTCTTTCCTCCCTGTGTCCTCTGTGGCCTCTGTTCTATTTAAATAGGCTTTTTAGTTTTTTTCCTCAGAGAGCATATCCATTTATGATGATTTAGCTCTAAGAAAAGACTTAAGGATTTTGTCTAAAACTAATACACAAATGCCAGAAAGGACCTTTAACTATAATACTTCTATTTTTCCTTCCTTAAAACTTGGAGAAATTGAAATATCTGTCTTCATTACAAGCTAAGCACCTGTGGAAACTTGGAAGGTTCTGGATCTATCCCGTTATGAAAAGAGTAAATGTCTCATCCAGGCAGATTGTGCCTTCCCTACAACCTATTCATACTTCACCAACCAATATATTTTATCTTCATATGTGGTTGAAATAGGGAAGATTTCTGGGACTTAAACAGTGAAATAAAACACATCCATCTTCCAATGAGCACATGGGAAGTTATTACCAGCCAGTGGGCTAATAGCGAAACAAACTGAAATACAAGAAAAGGAAAATTTGAACAAATAAATTGCTTAAGTGTGTTTTGTCCTGAAGTTTCCACTGAAGTTTGTTCCTAACTAGTTGTCTGATATCTTTACCTTTTGCTTTGTAAGGCTGACAGATGAAACTTTAAGGTCCAAGGAATATTTTTAGTAGTAACAACACACAGATGCTGGCAGGGTGTCTTAACAATGGCATGTTTGTTTTGGTAACAAGATTCAAAGAATGCATTATTTATAATGCTCTGATACGTGCATGTGGCAGAATGTGCTCTGGCTCTATGCAGCAATATAAGAACAGGAATGATTTCTTGCAGCCTCTCTGCACAGTGCTCCCAGATGCCAGCTGCTTCTGAGGCCAAGATTTCCCATGTAGTTGGAACGAGGAAAGTCAGTGAAAGTCGTGCCTCTCTGGGCTGCTCATTCCCACTCCATGCCCTCTCCCTGTTCCACTGTCAGCACGTATGCCTATGTTAGGTCTTGAACCAGATCGAAGAGTCAATTAAGGTTAAAACTCACCTGTAAGAAACCCAAGCAATCAAAGTAAATCAAAACCCAAGTTTAACTGCTTATGTTCTTATGCTTGTGCTGCTCTTGTAGGTCGGAGCTTTTGCTAGAAGCCAGCAATGCAGTCCCAGCCTGGAGAAGGCTCTGCACTACCCTACTCTACTGCTTTGATGGAGTCTAGAATGTTTCTTTTTGTTCTCTGCTCTTTACAACAGCATATTGTCAGGTGCTTACAGGCAGATGGCCACTTTAGCCCCTTTGAATTGCTTGTGACATCAGTATAAAGCATAAAGATGCAAGGCGTAAATCTGGTCTCTCAGAGGCAGGTAGCTGTGATGAGTCTCCTGATGAATAAAAAGGAATGATAATAATTTAAAAGAGGAAGTGTTCCTGTGTATCAAAGCTTTGGATGTAACATACTATATATCTAACATGGTTTTATGCAGTATAGATAAATAGAACAAAAATAGTGTAATCCCATTGCCAACATCAAGGCATACATATTTCAGAAAGGGAAAGTGCGATTAGAATATGATTCAAGATATTAAGCTTTTCACATCTCTGCAAAATGCATATATATGTATGTATATTTATATTTAAATATATATTAATGAGTTCTTTTGGGTAATACGTTTGCAAAGCTTAGATCTCTTGTATGCAGCGTTTTCCAGTATCCTTTCTTTCATGTCTGATTCTCCACATTAAGAATAACTTTTTTTTTTTTTTTAGTAGACAAAATCCTCCACTAGCCCTCCTCCTTGATAATATTTTTACATTTTTCCTTATCTCTTTTTTTGTGTCTATTGTCTGATTGTACCTCTTTCACAGGCCTTTACTCAAGGTTAGTGAAATTAAACATTAGCTGGCTTAATATTTAGCTACTAACAGTAGTTTATCTACCAAGATAAACTTCCAGATTTTGGTTGTCTCAAGCTTCTTCTTTTCCATTTTCACTGTTTTAAGACAATGTTATTTGAGGACTTCATGACCCATCTCCTTGAATGCTTCTTATAAACAGTTTCCTTACAAAAGATCCTGTGATAATTTCTTTTCTGACAGATTGCAGCCTAAGTAGTTTTAATACATCACTTGCTGGAGGAAAACAATTTACTTGTTAGAGAATATTTCATGTTATTTACCTTCCAACAGCACATACATATTGTAGACACTGTGTTCATCTCATGTGCTGCAAGATCTCTATATTCTAAAACGTATTCTAAGCATCAGAATGACAGAGAAAATTGTGGGCAGTAGTGTAGGCCTCACTCTGTTATGAAGGCAGAGAGAAAAATGGTAGTCCTGTCATGAATTCTTGTGATGAAAGCAAAAGTGGGAGTTGCCAGGGCATTTGGAGCAGAAACAATACCGATGGAGGAATGAATGAGGAGCCTGGTCAAAAACCTCATGGGTTTGTGTAGGAAAGCCATTTCGATGTCTGTGTTACTCCACTGATGTGTGTGCTACATGACAGGGAATATCAGACCGTAGTTGCTTTCCTTCCACATAGGAGTCTGATGGGTGTGGGAGAGGAGTTGTACAGGACTTACTTTTCTGGGCTGGCTCTTACAAAGCAATGTTACTACTTTCTAGGCTGGTCTAGCATGTAATGCTTCCACACAAAGTCTCGAGTAGTTGGCTAGACTTGTGCCTCCTGCTTTGTCTAACAGTCCACTTTTGCTGGATTTCCTCTATCCTCTATGTTGAAAAGCCCAATTAGGAGCTGCTGCTGCTATGATCCAGGGCTTCCAATCTCTGGCAGTAAGAGAAAAGCCATAGAAGTGACACCTGAGTGCCTGGGATCAACATAGGCATTTTCAAAACAGCAAACTTCTGTTACAATTATATCAGCTTGTTTAAACCCTGTTGAAGCAGGTTCAGCCCAGAGCAGCACTTGGGACAAAGTCCCTTTGTCTGAAACAGTCTTTACACTTGTGCACAGTCAGTAAGGTCTGCAGACATCATTAGGGCATTAGACACCTCTGATGGGATGTGACTGCGCACATTGCGCAGCAGTCATGACTGCCTCTTTCACAGACTTGTTTCACAGACTTGTTCTGTGTGACCAGCCATGGTGCCAGCAGCCGACTGCCAGCAGGGCAGTTACACACGCACCTCTGCCTTCCATAACCCTGCTCTCATGGCTCGTAGCCCAACAAAAGTGTAGCTAGGGACCACTAGAACTGTCACTTCACGCGACATTGGCCTCTGCTACTGACTAATGATCTTTTCCATACTGAAGCCTGTGTTCTGCTTTCACATACTCTGTAATTATTCTCTGTAAACCTGTCCTATTCTTGGCCACTTAGCTGCTGCAAATGAACATTATTAAAAGTTTGTCGACAGTTTTTTTGATACCTTTTCATCTTTTGATGTGTTGCAGGGTCTTCTAGCAAGTCCAGGTGCTCCTGAAATATAATAAGAGAGCAGCAGGCTGGGGACTTTTTCCATTCTGAGCTTTAGCAGCTGAAGCTGCCACCTTCTCCCCATGGACAGAGCCAGAGTAGCCTCAGGTGATGCCTTCTTCTCATCCAAATGGTTTCCCATGGGTAATTCATGCTAAACTAGAATCCAGCTGCTGGACTATTTCCCCATTTCAGTTAACTTTTTTCGATATTACTTAACAGGCTGTTGTCAATCAATTCTAATTTAGCAGTTTTTTCATTACTTTTCTTCTCATCTAGGTCTAATTTTCACAATCCATCTCCTTTTTCTTCAGTTGCTCTATAATGTACCGTATTAGCTTTAATATTCTTTAATATCTTACCTATTTGGGGGCCTTCTTCAATCACGGCTTCTTTTTCATTCCCATTCCTGCTAGAATCCATTTTATCCACTGTTTCTTACTGCCAACCAACACCTCGGCACCTAATTGCTAACCTTTTCACAATGACATCAGATGTATTTTCTGTTTGATGCATATTGTTTCTGAAGAACAAACTGTTTTGCAGCCTGTGAGCCCTCTTAGAAATTAGCTGCTCTTTATGCTGCCCTGTGACACAATATACCCAACCAAGGCTTCAAAGAGCAAGAGAGAGAAGTCTGGGCAAAGACAAAGCAGGGCCTTTGTTAAACAGAGTATTTCTGCATCCATCTTATTCCAGGCAAAACTCCGATAATCCACAATACTATAGCTTTCATGTGCTGGGGCACCATGCCAATGTTGCAACTGCTGCAGAAAGTAAAAACAAAGAGGGCAGATAAGGAGTTATACTAGAAGGGGGGAGGGGGAAGGGAGGAGTGGAAAAAAAAAATCTTTTGCATTCCTGGAATGATTGTGACACAATCATAATAATTCGGAAATAATTATATTTGTTATCAGTCAACATAATTTCCTGCAGTTCTACACACAACGTCGTTTTCCTTTTCCAACAGCCAGGCTGAACAAACGGTTCTGTTCTTGTTATTATTTTAGTATGAAGCAGAGTAATGTTGGTTGAACTAATAGTATGAACACAAGGATATCACTTAGAAGTGCCTGAAAATTGGCACTTAGCCTATTGTTTCCCAACATGATGCAACCATATTTGTTCATTATCACTTGTTCTCTCATATTTTGCTGTAAAACACCACAGTGCTGTTATGTTGTAAGGACAAATACCGCAATATGGTTAAAGACTAACTCTGTTTAAGTTATTATCCAGAGCCCATTACTGTAGTATTGGGCTGCATAAGGGAGACTATTTGGTAGATGAAAGAAAAATAATACAAAACCAGTATCACATTGTTTATTCAAATGCTATAGACTAGAGCTCTGTGTATGACACATTTAAAATGACTGATGGATTTTATCTCACTGTTGAGGAGAGGGGATGAGCCCCCCCCGCTGGGGCACACAGGGTGTCTTACTTCCCCAGACAGATCCCTGTCTCCCCAGAGGAACAGGCACATCCCTGGGGAGGCAGATCATGTTCACCTAACATTTTCTTTAGAGACTCTCAGAGAAGGCAGGCAGCTTTAGCCTGAGCCATTCAATTCCCAGGAGTTATGCTGTCGGAGATGGAGCCTGCTCTCTGCCTTTGGACATCACTACTCACACAAGGCTTTTGAGGTATTGCCAGTTCTCTCCAGCATCATTCTTAATTGCTAAGTGTCTTGTACTTATGCTCATAGAGGCTCACACGAACCAAGAGAAACTTTCTACCATTTATTCTCCTACTGAAGTCTCTAATTAGCGTGCTGAACTCAAAGGGAGTCCTGCAGAACAGAAATAACCAGCTTATTAACATAACTGGGTCAGAATTTGGTCCTTTATGCTTACCGTAGTTGCTTTACAGTCTGCTTTTGTTGTTGCTCAGATATTTCCCATTGTCATATAAAATGATTAATGTATAAACATAAGAGAAACAAAGAGTCTAAAGTATTGCTGGTGAGTTTATTGGAAACTGAGTACAAGAAAACTAGGGCTGAAAAACGCACATAAATAAGAACAGGCTTATTTATATAAGTCAGAAAAAGAAAGGAAACTGGTTCTAACTCTTTTGTTTCTTCCCTCCTTAATACAGGTCAGTTAATGCATTTACTCACATGTATCTCCAGACTGGTTTTCCATCTGCAGTAAAGAGAAGCATGCAGCCTTTTTCTGAAATGTCATGAAAGATTACAGTGTAGGAGGTTTCAAAAAGCATGATACAAGGATCTTTGCTGGATATAGACTCATATAACATTTTTATTAGAGATGTGGGAGTGGAAAGGTATCATGCTGATTGAATTCATGGGTATTATTAAGTTAGGAGACGCGATGAGTACTAGCACAGACAATTATGTAATGGAGAGGTTAACAAGTAGTGAAATAAGGTTCAACTTAAGCAAAAGTTATGTGAAATAAGCCTTATTTAAAAACCCGTGTCAAGGTCAAATTCATCACATGGTTTTAATGGTGTGTGTCTTAAATATTTTTAAAGCACAATGTTTAAATTTGTTATTTTGGACACTTGACATCTCTAGGAAATCATTCAACTCAACTGCTAACACTTATCAGTGCAGATTCTTTTTGAAGTTTGTGCTGTGAAGACTTTGTAAGAGTTTCTGTGCCAGCCAGCTTCTTTCCCTTTAGTCTCATTTCAAAGTCACGTTGATGAGAACAAACAAAATTTCTCAAGCAAGAACAATTGGTAACAAGCTAATGAGAAAAAGTTTTCTGTTAGTCAAATTGGCTGTTTCTTTATAGGGATGTAGCTGCTTCCATGAAATAGACTCTTTAGAATCCACTACTAGATATTATTTCTTTAATAATTGTCATTACACAAATACAGGTTCATACATAGAGAATGCAAGAGACATCTATGTGTGTCCGTCTATGAATAGTTGCAGATGAATTCTAAAATGTATGCTGATTGGAGAAACTGTTGCATTTCTTACAATTTATGCCCCAATTACAGGCTTTTAATATTTTATAGAGCAATGGACATTCCACTTAGAGGCTGATTTACAGATCGGAGCTACGGGGTGCTGAGCCTATTGAACACAGTAGGATCAAGAGATCTCCACAAATCAGAGACCTCCCTCCCCCCATTTGCAAATCGGAGAGCAGCAAGTGAGAATCAGTGTCTGCAAGGCAGAGAGGAAGAAATTCTATGCAGTGTGCCACTAATCAGTGGTGGAATCACTGCCATGGAAATTGCTGAAGTAAGCCCTTTGGGAGGATTAAAAAGGGATTTGGTGTCAGGAACAACATTTAAGTTTTGCAGCCTTCCTACTAAAGAGTTACAAGGGTAATGAGGCCTCTTGCTTCAGAGCTTAAGCTGATGATCTGTGGGGGTCAGGAGAAGATTGTCATCTCTATTATAAAACAGTCAACAGTTGAGATAAGACATCATTGTTTTCATGTTAATGTGTTTGTGTTCATAGGAAGGAGAACATTAGAGAACATAAAAACAGTGTTCTCCCCTTGTGTGACAAAACCTCTATTCTCATGAATGCAAATTTGTTCTCCTTTCTGTGATGCTTGTGGAATATGACTTTCCTGAGAGGACAGTGAGGCAGTTATGTACAGAGGGAGAAGTGGACATGAATTTACTTCTGATCAGTACAGCTCTGAATAAAACTGTTCTTAACTGAGTAGCAAAATAATTAAGATTTACGTGGGCTAAGACATGACAGTATATGTCTGTGGTCACCTTATGTCTTTCCCTACAACACTTTCCCAAGTGGTAACCTACAGTATTTGTCCATTAGCTATCAATGTACAATGGCTTGTACCAATGTGCATCACTCAGCTGCTCACAGTAGCCGTCCTGCACACACATTCAAACTTTTCTCTTGCACACAGACATAGGCACACATGCACTAACTTACTTTCCATGCACTCAGGATGGATTGGTAAGGCCCTTCCTCTTCTTGGCTTGACAACCAATGCATTTGCTTTTCCATTGTATCCGGAGGAAGATCTCAAGGCCCATGCTGAGCTGACAGGTGGAGAGCAGCAGTTCTTACCAAGCTGAATGGCTGTTCCTCGAGATCCTGAATAGACCTTTAGGCTTCAGGAAGATCCTTTCCACTCTTGAAGAAAAGGTGCTTTGGTATATGGGCTTTCTCAGCACTGGGAAAAGAAAGATAGAGCTTGAAAGAGCTGTGTCATGCACAAGCAAAAGGGTTTTGGCTAGAAAAACCACAGACTGGCCTCCTTTCAGCAGTAGTGAAGCTTTTCTTGATGGCCACTGTTTGATTCTTTGCCCTTTTTTTGCCAGTCATACACAGAAGCACAGGACTGAGGGAGGCAGCATCATAGACCTGACTTGACCTCCATGTGGTACAGTGGCTCTCAGAATGTCAGCTATGCACTAATCAGTCTTTTTGTTTTTATTTACACCCAATATAACTAATGCACTATGTGTTTCCCAGTGAGCTGTTTATCTTGCTTCCCAAGCCAGCTGCGGATTTCAGATGGAGCAAGGAGCAACTAGCCACCAGGATACAAGCTTGGCGATGTGGAATAATCACTTAAATGAAGACAACAGGGCCCCAAAGAGAAACAGATAGATCTACAGTACTTTAAAGCAGTAATTTAAAAAGAAATTCTCCTTTTAGCTATGAATTCTTTGGAAAGATGTGATACAGTACATCTGTAGTTTTGAGATAGATGCAGGAAAATGTAAAACTTGCTAAGTAAGAGGTTACTGACAGTTTACAGGAGGAGCAGTAATGGCTAAGCCTCTAGAAACCTTGAAGGGATGGCACTGTGATTGGATTTTAGGAAAAATGAAGAATTGCTAAGGCAACAAAGTACATGCTCTTAAATAAGATTCAAGGAGTCCCCTCAGTAAAGGCTTGTCTTTGATATATGGGCACTGTATCCTAACAATCATTCCCTTTCAGTTCTTCATAATTTAAGATTATTTTTATAATGCACCTTGCTATAGCATGCAAATGATGTAGTCTTGTGTGTAATTGTATTATACAACAAAGCAAGGACCATCTGAACCGAAATTAATACACAGTATTAAATCAGGTACTTAATCATTCATTTTAGTTTGATTTACTGAAGCTATTGTGTTCTTGTTCTGTATTACAGAGAAAATTTAACAAGACACAACATGTTTCTGAATACCACAATATGTAGTCTCAATTTAGGATACATTATAGATCATCCTGGTTCTTAAAAACCCAATACGCCATTAGACTTTTATATTAAAATATTCCCTGCTCCTTTCAAACAAACCCATGTCCTGTCCTATCAAATATGTTTAAAGTAGTATATTACTTTCCCATGTTAAAAAAAAAAGCCCATTATGAGGACAAGGGGAATTATTTTAGCAAGCTACTTTTTTTTTTTTTTTTTTTTTTTTTAATACTAAAATACTTTTTACTAAAAGACTATTTTCAATACCAGTCTGTGAAAGGGGCTGATTCATTCTGTGCGTGCTCCTGCTCTGCCTTCATTTGGAGATAAATTATCACATTATAGTCTTTGCTCTCCCACTTGCAAATTAAGTTGTCATTCAGCAACTCCTAAAGAGGCAAGCTGCAACAATCCATAAGATCAAATAATGCAGCTATTCTTTGTCTAAAAAATGTAGTTTTATATACATATGATTTTGTCATTTTTTTTCTTATTCTTTGTAGTACATATTGGGAAGATGATTGTAACTTTTTTTCTTACAAGCTGGGCACCATTAAAATCCTATTAGTAGTAAATACAATTTTTTATACAGAAAAAAGTGTTAAAAATCTATTTTATAAGAGTTTTTGTTTCTTTCATTTTTTTCTGCACAAAAGTTTTGATCTGAATTAATTTTCTCTCTCAAAAAAAACCAAAAACCAACCAAACAAACAAACAAAAAAAACCAAGTGAATGCCAAAAGAAGAAAAAAGGAAAGAGAATAGCTTTTCCAAATTGCTGTGGAGAAAGAATTCCCAAGGCCTGCTGGTGTTCTTCTTTTTTTTGTTGTTTTTGCTTCTCTCCACCAAATTCTGATGTTCCAAGTCCAAACAAAATGAAAATTTTCAAAACAATGAAATTATACAGTAATTCAAAGAAGCATTTTAAGTGATATTTCCTTTATGTAAACATCCCCTAAGTAACCCTGATTTCAATATTTCTCTCCAAACTGATAACATTTAGTTGTGACTTTGTGAATTGCAGCTGTCAATTTCTTTTTTCCATGTAAGAAGTTTGTACCTATTTTGTTTTTAACATAATTTATTTTTCATCAAGTAGGCTTGAAGAAACAAGATCTTTCCTCACGCTCTGAGGATTTTTCTCTCTTCTCATGCTACATTTTACAACACATATACTACGAACAAGCAGAAAGCAGCAGATACAAGTGCAGCAGCATCACAGTCCCCTATTTCACCTGAATTAAGTAAGATTTTGCAATCAAGGTAGTCATAATGGCAGACTGATAATAGAATTGATAAAGGACCCAACATCTCAGATGCCCATTTGAGTGTCATGTGTATTCTCTGCCTTATGAGAGGATTTATTTCTCTGTATGATTTTCAAAAAATCAGCTAGAATCTAAAATATTATTCATAAGGCCTAACTATGTAGTTCTGCAAAAAACAGTTGTCTTCTTTTTTAATTTAACAATGCACAATATAAAGTGTGTGTGTGTCCTAATGGATTGCTCAGAAACAGCACTGAGTAAGTTCTAAAAACAAGAAGTCTGCAGTGTAATATGACAGAGAAATTGTTCAGCAAGGTCTTGACTCTGACCTTACACTACCTTTATCAAAATAGCGCAAAAAAGGAGACAGAAGAAACCTGCCAAGTTCCCTCTAAAATTATCACTGGCACCAGCACCACTGAGCGTAGATCATAGTATATTTCTATGAATAGAACTCAGAGGAGTTGTGGAGGATTTGCACGTCCTGTAGTTTTGTTGCTGGAGCTGATGACTGGCACTGACTGTGACTGGTGGCCGAGGAGAGAGCAGGATGATATCTGAGCTGTGCAAGGGAAATCTGTAAGCAGGTTGCAATGTACTTCAATCCATGGAAAGTGCATATCTTTCAAAAGCATTTTGTTATATCAAAATAAATGCCAGTAAACAGAAGCATGGCAATGTTCTCCTGTTTATCAAGAGAAACCTCTAGGGAATCTCCTGCACCTCTGCTTGCCAGCTGTACAAATCATCAGCCTGCTCTCCGATGTGCATACCAGTCTTAGTGGGTATTATTTGTACGCGGGAGTATCTGAAGGGTCAGGACCTGTGAGTTATTATTTTTACTGCACTGCCTCAGGACATGG